AATGACTACATAAGGGGGGGGGTTACCGGGGATCCACGGGGGTTACCGTGTTTGCGGACCCCTTTGGAGGCGAGTGCCCACTTCGAAAAATAAACAGGGCCTTTTGAACCCCACTTCCAGGTGTTTTCGTCAAAACACGGGATCCCATCTCTAAGTGGATTTTGCTCGTTTCAGATTGACACTGCAGTCTAAGAGAGCACAAACCTGCTATAGTAGACAGGTGTGGAGAAGAGCGTAGAACCGACATGCTTTATTCCAGGCTTTGCTGTGTTTATAATACTTTATATGCTTCTCAGACATGCGTATTATGTGGGGAAAAAGTTATGGGATGAGGTTTCTACTCGTAAAATCAGAGAAGCAGTCCGAGGTGCAAGCCCAAGAATGGACCTTGCTCCACTACATGTACGTGGACAACTTATGTGGCAAAATACTTTCGGACCGGTGACCCACTGCATAAAGGGAAAACAAAAGGAAGGCAGACTGCTGACCCAACGCATAAGGGAAAAAGCAAAAGGAAAGCTCCCTGCCTGCACGAGCTGAAACCTCAACCCATGACTTTTTCGCTGCAGTGCGTGGTATCCCGAAGAGCTATATTTTTGGGCAAGCACCTCTCATCAACATATGTCCTTCGGCTTCTAGTGCCAATGCCCGATGCAGAAACAATAAAGAGGTGTAGGGCCGAATTGAAATTTGAAAGGCCACGGGGGGTGTGTCAAGTAAAACAGTTTACTTGACCCCTCCACATAAAGGCCAATCTCCCTGACCCCAACCGGTAGTATGCCCTTCCCCCTCTGGGGAACCCCCCCCAAAAAAAGATTTGCACCTTCCAACTTTTATTGTGGATTTGCACAGATCTCGAAGAGCGCAGTTCGAATCCGCCGATCAAAAAAAAAAAAAAAAACTAAAATCCTGGGCATTTTTTTTGAAAACCTAAGCTACCAGAGTGGCTCGGGTCCACTTGCCCGGCCGGGCCGAAAAGAAATAAAACAATAAAAAAATAAAATTCTTTTTTAATTTAAATTTTTATTTTAAATTTGGTAAAGAATTTCGGTGTGACCCTGAGGCAAAAGTTGTTCAGTTTATTTTTCGGCAGAACATAGTTTTTTTTCGGATTTTTTGGATTTTTTATTTTTCTATTTTTTTTTGGCTGGGACCTTCCCTAGTCCTTGCACGGCCGGGCCGCCCGGGAAAATAGGGTGACCCGGGCGGCCCGGCTGGTAGCCTACAATGAAAACTGGTTTTCCGGTTCAGCCCCCCTGTGCTGGTCCGGAGCCGGGTGGACCAGGGGAGGTGAACCGGCCGATTGCCGGCCCAGCCTTGGTTGTACCACCACTTTTTCACACCCTTCTTTTGTCATTCCTGTTAGTTATCTCAAGCAATGGAAACAAATTTTAAAATTTTAATGAATCCTCCAGGATCATGCCTAATCATGCCCTAATCCAGAATTTTTCAGTCCATTGAACTCCATTTGCCAATTGGACAATTGCGACGAAAAGTTTTAATTCTAATGAAGTTAAAGGAATCCCAAATATCATGCCTAATCATGCCCCAATGCCCTACAGGCTAATGCACAATTTTTTTTTAACACCACGTTTTCACTCTCGTTTCCGTGTATATGTATGTTGTGTGATTCTGCAGCTGCAGAAAATTAAAGTGGAGCCAGTGCTGCTCGAGTACATCAGCTGTGCAAAGAACCTAAAAGGTAGGAGGAGTCTAACAACAGGCTAAGCTCAGTGGGTACACCCATAAAGAGTGTTGAAATGCAGACATGAACTGTTGAAATGCAGACATGAGTTCGAATCCACGTGGAAGCAGATGAACTTTGAATGCCTGAATTATCTAGGGCCGGTCAGTTTCACGATGATATCTCGAGGCCGTTTTAAAAAAAGAAAAAAAAAAGCGGTCTCCGTCATTTACCAATCCTCACACGTATGACCTCGCCCATCTTAAGCTTCTTAATTTTCATGATGAGAGTTGTTGTGATGACAGTAACCGCCCTGCCTCTCGGTCTTGTGTCATTGGCACACTTTGTCATAAGGAGTTCAATGGCTCTCTTTCCATTCGTATGACCTCCATGTAGTGAACCCAGATCGTGAGACAGTTGTCAACAATGCAAGCCCAGATAAATGTCCATCGGCTGATGATTACTACTAGTCCAAATCGTAACCAGACAGAATGAGGTGAGGTAATCATACACAGACGAAGAGAGGGGAGGGAGAAGAGACAAAGGAGAGGAAGTATAATGCCCACTCCTGCTTCGGGCTCCCTCCTCTACTGCCACCTTAATAATCAATAGTCTGAACGAGCATCCGAGTATCCTCAATGTGCCACGTGGCACGACTAATCAGTTCCACATCAGCATCTGGAGCAATGTCGACATGAAGACCACCAGGTACGTATCCTCAAACTCCCCACAGCCCTGATCTCCTCCTGAAGTGACGACGAACAGAACAGCAATGCCGATTATGTAGTCCCCTCGATAGAACACATGCTGCCACATCAGCCAAATGATACACGTGGCAGCAGCCACATCAGCGAATGCGCATGGCAGCTGCCACGTCAGCATGCCAAGAAGACAGGAGCAAGCCGGCCACCATGCCGGACTAGCAGCGCCTCGCCAAGTCACAATGCCAGCAGCGTCGAGCCAGCGTTGAAGTCAACGCGTGAAGTCAGCATCAACGCAAGACAGAATGAATGTCAAAGCCAGGAAGTCAACTCTTATGTAGTGTTGACGCGGGGTCTGGGCCCCGGATGCTATATTCCTCAGCCGTCCAGATCTCAATGCGAATGAGGGCTCAGATTGGCCTGAAACCGAATTCCCTCCGGCCTGGATGCTGTCTGGGTACCTGCACACAACAAGTGAGTGTATCCAACCAAGGGCCTGGGTGCGGTACCTTTGACTCTACAGTTGACTTTGACTCTGGAATTTCCTGTGTGCAGTGTTCAGTCACACAGCCACACTCGACAGGCTCAAGCCTGGGCGTGTCTTGGTCACACAGCCCAGTGCAGACCTTCTCAGGTCTGCGTGGCCTGGGGCTGAGTTCTGGGCCCCAGGCTACTTCTGAACAGGGTTATTATATCCAGATTGATTTACCACACACACATTAATTATGAAATTGCTTTAATATGTTGGACATCTCAAATGCTCTCGTTGTCTGCAATAGGACGAAGAGTCAAAGACTGCTTTGATTCTGAATCTATTCGCCTGGGTGGAATTGGGGCTGTTGTGGGGAAAATCTAAAACACCCACCCACCCACACACACACACACACACACACACACACA